AGATTGCCCCTTTTGTCTTTTTACTCCATGGTCTGCCCAGAATGTATGAAATCGTTTCATCAATAGATCATCTGGCCATTGGCAATTATAATATGTTGGTGAGTCAATACCCATAATTAGAATATAAAAAATATTAATATTTTCAAAATGGCACTAGCTATAAACAAATTATACTTTATAAAAATTTCCTATCCCTTATATTGCTAAACCAAAGTAAATGGAGGTAACCAATTACTTTTTCTACTTATTTATTCACTACAGCTACGTATCATGTAAAATCTATATTATAATTTGTAATAATATCAATTAAGGCCTATTCGCATATTGACAGAGTTCAGTGTATTCACAACATGTAATTTTAACATCACTGTAACTACATCACTGAGAATAAAGCCCTCGCAGAGATCATTTGGTTAACACTGCTGGCTGCACAACTAAACTAAATGATGGTTTCAGATATCGGCTGTCCACAAAAGAATCAATTCGACAAAACTACTAATACACAATAATATGCTCGATGATTACGATTTTTTGTAAAGTTAAGTTTTTTAAAACTCTCCATAAATTGAAGATCTCATTATTTCTTGTATTTTTTCGTAATTCTATTGATAATATTAGTATTAATATTAATATAATTAATATAATAACAAGATATTAATTGTTTTATAACCTTATCCTTATAATATTTTTACAGTATAAAAAAAACAGTACTCAACTGCCTCATCAGACATAATGATGGCGTCATTAATTACAAACCATCGTATAATTTCAAAATTACCGATAATACACTGTTGTCATTGAGAAAATTGTTGCAACAAAGTATACCTGCCTCACCTCACACCCCTCCTCCAGATATCCATAACCTGCTACATAATATCGACTACCTGGCAGTTGACATTCACCTACCAAATAACAACAATATTACGATAATCTCCTACTACAAGCCTTCAGACATACTTTCCGTACCTCTTGTTGAGTACTGTTCCACACTCGATAAGGCGATCTTAACAGACACACTCAATTTGGTGATACCTCCACAAACGTCTCCGACAGAATGCTCTCAGGCCCTCTTCTAGAGCTGCTCATTTCTAGTATCACCAATAAAGAAGTCACGTTTTTCAATCACCGTCGAATGTCCATAGTCGACCATATCTTATGCACGAAAAAAATACTGGATAAATTCGACGATGAATGTTTCATTGGATTCAATAACCTGTGACCACCTACCACTTTTGTACTAACGGCTCCAAAACCCAACTATTTAAATCTCCCCACTGCCGTGATGTTCATGGCTAGATAACCCTGCTAGGAGAAGACCTTATTCTTAGAAACTCGGTTTCCTATTTTTGAATTCATTAGCAGGGCTCTTAACTGGAAAACCGACATACAAAACACCCTAGATAGATAATCGAATACAAGGCATGACTCTACGCATCACCTAACACCCGCCAAATGAACACCATCATGGCCACTGAAAGAAAAATTCCAAGATTCTGCACGGGAAGCGCAGAGACTGCCCATCATCACTCATACATCAAGTAGCCAATGTAACACCAATGTAACCGAGCCAAACAAATACTAAAAACTCCTTGTAATCAGGGCAAATACTCTCCAGGGTTCCTAAAAGAAAAGGTCCATTCCTTCTAGAAAAACTTCTATATATGGAAACAAACTTCCTAATGAGTATTTTGATATATTAGAATCAATCCCCATAAAATATCGCAGCTAACAACTGCAAGCCAAAAAGCTAATTAAGAGCCGTTTCTAGTATGACTGGTAACATCTTAAAGTATTTCCCTTTGGTTTGTTTTGCTTACCAATAATTCCTATTGTGCGCTCTTTATCACAATACGCTACTTTCTGAACCCCAGCTCCATGCACGCATTCGTCCTTACGTTTACCACACCCCCTCGCCTCACAGAAAAAAGAAGCACCCTTTCCTTGAGCTTCCTTGTTAAAACTTGGATTGATTAAAAACTGTTTCATATTATTTAGTTGCATTTGAACTTCAGTTGTAAAACAAATAATTTGTCTCATTTTCCACACGTAAAGTCAAAATGAAAATTTTAAAATTAAGCGAAATAGTAATAAAGAATACATTAAATTTTTTTTCCAATAATATAAATAATAAAAACTATCATGTTAAGATGTGGAAATAAATTAGACAGGGGAAAAATTTGGCGCCCAACGTGGGGCTACACAAATTGCCTTAGTCGCGACAGCCAGATTCTTTTGTGGATCGCAAAACATCCAAACCAGAGTTCGTTGCCATGTATCCATCGATGCACTTAACACACCTTAATAAACTTACCCAAAAACTTAATTATAGATTACAGATGACATTTAGAGGAGAGTGAAAGTTTAGGACACAAGTAGTAATATTGTCATTTCATATCTAACCACTACCTAATAATAATAAATAGAACTGTTTGGAAAATTTCGTGAACTTTTTATGATCTTATATGCTTTTATAAAAGGCAGTTTTTGAAAATGAAATAAATAATGTAATAGTCATTTTAGTGGCGGTATTTTTTCCTAATTACTTTAAGTATCTTGCAATATTAACTATTTTATTATTTTAGTCTCTCCTATTTTACTTTATCCTAATATCACATTAAAAAAAGTAAAACGCGCATACCTAATTTACTTCAGCCACATAGCTAGAAGAACGGGGACCATGGAACTATTGATAGTAGAAGGAAAGGTAGAAGGCCGAAGACCAAGAGGAAGATTTACAACAAGTTGGGCAGACAAAATGGCACAGGATCGCAGCCAATGGAGGCAGCAAGCCAATAATCATTAGAGTATTACCACGTCCTGACAAGCGCTCAAGGAATAAGGAAGAGGAATATCGAATTGTTATTGTATGTCCCATTTTTTGCACACAAAACTAGTTTTTGTTTTATTTGTATTAGTTTTAAATATCACCTCCAATACTTACAGGTCTTGTATATTCTTGTTTTTATTCTCAATCATAAATGCTTGTTCTTAGCTTGATGTTTTACTTTTTAAAGTGGTTGCTTCTTAATAGACGTCTTGGTGATTATTTACATCTAGCTCTAAATAGCTGAACGACACTAGCACAATTATGATTTCCCCTCCGATCTCCAGTTGCCATTAACTGGTTTCTTGGATATAGTTAGGTATTCCGTGTTAATCTGTCATTTCTAAATCATAATTACTATTGGTTTATATGACCAAAAATAGATAATACCCTATATTTCTTTGCTGGAATTATGGGCAGCAAATCAATTTTTTTTATATCCTCAGTTAAAAGTAGAAAAGGTTTTGCCAGACTACACCGGAACTGTTCATCCGTACATCGGGTTTTCGATAACCAGAACGGGGAGCACTAACGCAGTCCATGCGCCCTGGGCATCGGAGGGCAAATTCGGCTATGGAAATTAATGGAAGTATACGAGGAACTGATTAAATGGAGAGTGAGCATGATGCAGCGTCAATCACCAACGGTAGAAAAACCTAAAGAGAGATCATTAAAAAAGCGATGGAAGGAAGCAAGATAGGAAGGGACAGAGCAGGGTTCAACCCTGAGGTCATCGAGGAGTTCGAGGAAGAGTACCGCGCAAGGTAGACGGAAATTTATAGGAAAATCCGTACAGAAAAAAAGACACTGAAAAGAAGACACTGAAGAGTGTGAAAAGCTGGATAAGGACATCTAGCATGTCCTTGGCATGGAGTATGGAGAGACGAGGGAGCTGAGCGGGCGGTACCCTTTACAATGTATGAACTTGTCGAGGCATTGGGTTCACTTAAGACGCGCATTTCCCCTGACTGGTTCAGATACCACCTGAAGCGGTAAAGGGTCTAGGAGGCAAAGCCTGCATGGCATCTGGACACATGAATGCACTGCTGGAAGTATAAAAAGTAAATATTCTTGCAAGTAACTTCTAAAATTTCAAAAAAATTGTTTACATTTGGCAGTATATATTACAAAACTGCAATAACTTAAAATTGGCATAGTAACGGATCACTATAAAGTGAAAAAAAAATAAAAGAAAAGAAAAACTTAACAGAAGCAACTAATTTCAACAATATAAAGAAAAAACTATTATTTTAGTTTTTTGTGTGGATACTACATTTTATCATACCTAGAAATGTCTAACCTATAATTAAATTTTGATATTTCTTTACCAGTGCACAAAATTTTCCAAACTTCCGTAGATAACCTATGTTAGAAACTGTTATAATGTTGCGTATGTCTTCTTAAACTGATTTTAACATAAAACATCTGCTAATAACTTTAACGAACATCAAAATGACTTGATTCTGGTTTACATTCAGATCAACAACTACGCTACAACTTAACAAGAGGTACCTGAGGTACCTGGCCCAAGGCAGTGAGTAACATATCATTATCAACATATTGCTTAGCAAAATTCAAACCTCACGTAAAGAGCTTCAAAGTTTCCGTCCAAAACGTTTGATGTCAGAAAGTATTTAATACTTTTGGTAGATAGTTGAAGATCGATCCAAAGAGTTTTCAAACAAATTGGCTGTTGTATTCTTTACTTAAGCAACCACAAACAACGAACTATTTCATTTACACATTTGAAGTAATTCAAGTTTGCAAGTTTCAGAAGCGCCATCTCTGGGCAAGGCTGAGGACCTTTTCTTTGGTAATCAACGAGTCAATTTTATGAAATCAACAACTTTGAAACACAAATACTATACATTTTATAACATCATTTATTCGTAAAAAATTTTAAAGAGAATCCTAATAAGAAATATTTTTCTCCATATTCAGTTGACTATGGACTTTATTTACCCTTTGTAGGTAAACAGCTTAAAATTTTACTTATTAACTCCAAATATATAAGCATATTTTATCAGTCTTCGACTATCTACCACTTTCAGTTCTATTTCGTTACCTGAGAATCATTATTCTAACCATTTTGGGCAGATACTTGTGTTTAACGGTCCTAACAATGAAAACAAATACATTGGTATTATTTTTAAGTGGATGTTATTTTGGTTGATTTTTACATGTCCCCAAAAATGCCGGCGAAGGTTTTTCTAAGGTTCTTCATAGTATCTTCCGTATCTTCTGCGAGAGACTGTGACTGACTGCCTTGGCGTTGGAAGCCGGGACGAGGTGGGGGATCTGGAAGACGTCCTGTACTTGGTGCGCTGCTAATTGTGCTTGACTGTGAGGCTAAACAAATTATAATAAATATAAATATTTATATGGAATATATAAAAACTGGTAATAAAGTATATTTACGCCCTAAAGTATATTTGAAGTCAAAAAAAGACACAAGCAGAATTTCAGTTTAATTTTTATATAAGCTTGTTAAATTATAAAAATCTTATATTAAATATTCAAAAATTTAGAAAATAGTAAAAAATCTTGAAAACTGTAAAACTATCCTATAAAACTATCCAAAAAAATCTTAAAAATATATTAGAAGATTTTAGAAAAACTAACTATGTCAGAAAATCTTAGAAAATCGTAGAAATAATTGGAGAATAAAAAAAAATTAAAATACCTCGAAAAATTTGATAAAATCTTAAAAAATCTAAGAAAATCTTTAAAGATCGTATACAGTGATATAAAATCTCAGTAAAATATTTAAAAAATCTTGGAAACTATTAGAAAATCGTAGTAAATCCTGGATAATTCCTGAATAAATCCATGGATAATCGTAGAGAAAATCTTATAAAATCCAAGAAAATCTTCAAAAACTTATACAGTGATATAAAATCTTATTAAGTCTGGGAAACTTCTAGAAAATCTGAGAAAATTTTAGAAATATTTGGAAAATTCTAAAAAATCTTAGTATAAATCTTAAAAAATCTTAGAAAATATTTAAAAATCTTGAAAAATCTTAGAAAATCTTAGAAAATCTTAGAAAATCTTAGAAAATCTTAGAAAATCTTAGAAAATCTTAGAAAATATAACAAAAACTTCTAAAATCTTATACAGTGATATGAAATCTTAATAAAAACCTTTAAAAGTCTTGGAAACTCATAGCAATTTTAAAAAATCGTAGAAAATCTTATAAAATCTAAGAAAATTTCAAAAATCTTATACAGTAATATAAAATTTTATTTAAATCTTTAAAAATCTTGTAAACTCCTAGAAAATTCAGAAAATCGTAGAAAGCTTATAAATCTTAAAAAATCTTAGAATATCTTGAAAAATTATAAAATCCTAGAAAATCTTAAAAATCTTAGAAAATTTTAGAAAATCTTCATTTGGAGAATTTTAAAAAATGTTTAAAAATCGTGGAAATTCTTAGAAAATCTTGGAAAATAGTATAAAATCTTAGAAAATCTTCAAAAATTTTGGAGACCTTTAGAAAATCTTAGATATTCTTGGGAAATTTTAGAAAAAAATACGAAAATCTTCAAATATCTTATACAGTGATATGAAATCTTAATAAAAATCTTTAAAAATCTTGGAAACTAATCTCGTAGAAAATCTTATAAAATCTAAGAAAATCTTTAAAAATATTATACAGTAATATAAAGTTTTAGTTAAATCTTAAAAATCTTGGAAACTTCTAGGAAATCTTGGAAAATCTTAGAAATATTTGGAAAATTCTAAAAATCTTATTAAAAATCATAAAAAGTCTTAGAAAATCTTTAAAAATCTTGTAAAATCCTAGAAAATCTCAGAAAATCGTAGAAAAGCTTATAAAATCTTAGAGAATCTTAGAATATCGTGAAAAATTGCAGAAAATCCTAGAAAATCTTATAAAATCTTGGAAAATCTTAAAAAATCTTACAAAATGTTAGAAAATCTTAGAAAATCTTAGAAAATCTTAGAAAATCTTAGAAAATCTTAGAAAATCTTAGAAAATCTTAGAAAATCTTAGAAAATCTTAGAAAATCTTAGAAAATCTTAGAAAATCTTAGAAAATCTTAGAAAATCTTAGAAAATCTTAGAAAATCTTAGAAAATCTTAGAAAATCTTAGAAAATCTTAGAAAATCTTAGAAAATCTTAGAAAATCTTAGAAAATCTTAGAAAATCTTAGAAAATCTTAGAAAATCTTAGAAAATCTTAGAAAATCTTAGAAAATCTTAGAAAATCTTAGAAAATCTTAGAAAATCTTAGAAAATCTTAGAAAATCTTAGAAAATCTTAGAAAATCTTAGAAAATCTTAGAAAATCTTAGAAAATCTTAGAAAATCTTAGAAAATCTTAGAAAATCTTAGAAAATCTTAGAAAATCTTAGAAAATCTTAGAAAATCTTAGAAAATCTTAGAAAATCTTAGAAAATCTTAGAAAATCTTAGAAAATCTTAGAAAATCTTAGAAAATCTTAGAAATCTTAGAAAATCTTAGAAAATTTAAGAAAACTTTAAAAATATTTTACAGTGATATAGAATCTTATTAAAAATCCTAGAAAATCTCGGAAAATCGTAGAAAATCTTATAAAATCTTGGAAAATCTTATGATATTTTGGAAAATTTTGAAAAATTTTGAAAAAACCTTAGAAAACTTTAGATCTTAGAAAACCATAAAGAATTTTAGAAAATCTTGGGAAATCTTAAACGATATTAGAAGTAAAAATTTTATCTTAGATAGTAATCTTAGATAGGTAAAAATTTTAGGTATTCTACAAGGATACAAATAAACAAGACCTAAGTTATTGAAAATCTAAAGAAAAACTTTAACTGGAAATTTTATGGAGTTAAAATAACTCTGCAGCAGGGCCTTGACGTATTCATGAGAGCCAATAATGCACAAGGAACTGAGCGCCAAGAAAGTACGAAAAAGAAATGATATGCTTATTTTACAAGGGTATATTTGTAGATATTAGTAAGACTAAAAATCCAGTCAAACTAAACAACAACTCACCTTGACTGTCTCTTCTACCAACATTTGCCAAAGAGGGAGCATCTGAAGTTGCACTCGGTGGTGGCGTCTCCGAGTGTGTAAGGCTACTGAGGCTTCCCAGAATACCACGTGGGCCAACAGGTGGCGGGGGAGGCTCTTCACTGGGAGGAGGGGTCCTTGGTCTACAAATTGCTTGCATTCTAGAGGACACTAGATCGGCTATGTGTCTTCTGTCCTCCTCTTGAGTATCTCCCAATAGCGTTAGAGCACTGTCGTTGACCTAAAATATCAAGAATAATGTTTTCATTAGTTTAACCACAAAGTATAAAAGAATCAGTATAAAAATTTGTTTCGAAAAAAAAAATGTTTTAGGTCAGGAATAATAAGTACATTTACCAAATTATTTTGTTAAATTACTACTCTGTCCATCATTGACTTTAATTAGGACACAGGAATTATTATGCATAACCGTATAACCTAATTGGTATAATGACACAATATTATTACAGATAATGCTACAAATTGTCTTCCAGTTCACGAATTTAATTGCTTTGCTAGTCAAAGTATTTAAACGCCACCAAAGTCAAATAATATATTCATATAAAAGCCTATAAAGAAGACACGTCTCTGTCATTATTATTAAGTTACAATTCTCCTTTTCCAACTTTCATCAAAATACAACTCAAAAGATATGCTTCCATAACAGAGCACTCAACCCTTTTGTAAAATTGAAAGGTATACGTTTCCTTTTCCCTCATCACATTTCTATTTTATGCTCTGACATTGTAACTATTATACTTCGACGACCCCTCGAGCTCCTAATAAATATTACATCTTCCACAAATCAATACTGGGAAGGTTTTGAAAGTCCGTGGGTTTCGAAAGTTTTGAGCTAAAATTTTATGTATTGGAGAATGATTAAAACAGGGAAACCTTCCAACATTTGAAATTAAAATTATTCTGATTTATTAATTTTACAAAATGGTAACATTTTCTGGACTCTGGAAAATGGACTCTTTGGAAGCTTTTTTTTAATTTCGGTTATTTTTTGTATCTCTATTAATTTTACATGTATATTTTACATTCTTATGAAATATTTTTTTAAAATTCATGAAAATATCTTTCCTCTACTAACAACACTTATGCAACAGAACGTTGTCTGGTCCGTTTGTTTAGTTTTTTTTTTATTTTAGTTTGATGGCCTTGGCCGAGCCAATTAGCCAGCCAAATTTAAAGATAAACAATTTTAACAATCAGAGGAATTTTTTACAGTTAGAGGAATAAACATACAATCATCCGTACAATCTAACGTGCAATTGTTAATAAATTACATTTTTTATTAATTATATTAATTACATTGTTAATAATTACTTTTTTTTATTTTTTTTTCCTGCGCGAAGACATAACCCGATTCAACATCTCGGAGGTTTACATCTTCCTTTTTCTCCTTTTTATTTTTAATTCTTTATATACATATATATATATATATATATATATATATTTATACATATATATATATATAATATATATATATATATATATATTATACATACTATATATATATATATTATATATATATATATATATATATATATATATATATATATATTTTTTTTAAATAAATATTATTTTTTTCCATTTTTTTTTTAATTTTTTGCTATAATACAATATTTACTTAAATATAAGGGTTAGTTTTAAGCTACAATTTATATTTACAGTTTTTATTATGTTCGTAAATCGATTTTAATATATTGATATCTCTTGAGAAAATCAAATTGTTCAGGTAGACGGGAAGTGGAATTTTTAATATAATAAGATTATCATAAAATTTGTTTATGTTTACTGATTAGGAACATTCAAGGAAAATATGTAAAAGGTTACCTTCTTTTCCGCACTTGCAATTAGGTGACTCCGCGAAACCCAACTTGTACATATTGTTACGATTTTAAATGTTATGGCATATAGAACTGTAAATATTTTATGACTAATTCTTTTTATTAATTCTCGTAATTTGTAGGTCAAAATATACCTGAGCTTAGCTACCAGTTGTTTACCAGAAATCTCTAGACACTAATTTTGGTGAATCATCCACGTCTCGAGGTTGAAAAACGAGTCGAGCGCCTTCACCAAAATACGAGACTATTCAAGAAGTCCGCCGAATTCTCTGGATGACACAGTTGTGTATATAAATGAAAGATTTTTATTTGGCAGTTAGTCATAAGAAGATCGGTAAACGGGATATTTAAATGTAACGAAACGTGAAATAAATACATTTGTAATATAAATTAGAATTAATAAAGACTTTAATAAATTCGTAATTAGTTATCGTGAGTTTTAATAAATTAGAATATAGACAATAAATTAGAATAAAGACAAATAAATTAGAACTATATAAATATACAAACTTCACAGTGGTGTCAGAAAAAGTGGGATCGTAGATAAATTTAATTTGATTTTTGAAAAAGACGAAAGAACATTTAAAAAGTACGTGTGTGCCTGACCAAAGATGCTGCTAGTAGAACTTTCAGTGAAACAGTTGCGTGAGCAACTAGAAGAACGCGATGAAGACTGCAGCGGGTCCAAGAAGATCCTCCAAGAACGACTGAAGACTGTTCTCAACAAGAATGGAGACGACCCAGAGACATTCCAGTTCCAGTCAGCAGAAGAAGCCGTTTTAACGAAAATAATTGATGGAAAATTCGAGACTGTTTCCAAAAGATTCGATGAAACGTCACAAATGATTGAAGAATCTTCTCGAAAGAATGATGAAAGATTCGATGAAACGTCTCAAATTATTAAAGAAATAGCTAGACAAAATGACGAGAAAATTGAAAATATGTCTAGAAGATTCGACGAAGTATGTATTCAGAATGGTGAGAAGTTTGAAGAAGTCTCTAAAACATTTGATAAAGTTGAAGAGAAAATCAAACAGTTAGAGACCATGATAACTAACACGAGAGTGCTACCACCAATTAATACGGTAGCTTTAGATCCGGTAGAGATAAAAGAAAATGAGACGAAATGTAAGTTGGAAACACGGCCGAAATTTGAAGGAAGTGGAAGTTCCGTTCATGTCAAAGTCCCAACTTTCGACGGAAAATCATCATGGAACAACTACATGAAACAGTTCGAATCAGCTGCAAGAGCGAATGGATGGTCTGAAAAAGAAAAGGCTGTAAACCTGACTATCGCTCTTCGAGGAGATGCCTTAGATGTGCTCCAGACCATAGCCGTAGAGGAGACAGATGATTTCGAACAATTGAAGAAGAGGTTAAATATGCGATATGGCCACGAACACTTGGAGCATGTATATCAGTCGCAGCTCAAAAATCGAAGACAAAAGAAAGATGAGGCTCTTCAAGAATATGAAGTAGATATCGCCAGATTAGTGCGATATGCTTATCCAACAGCTCCCGAAGACATGATGGAAAAGTTGGCCGTTCAAACGTTTATTGATGGTCTTCGTGATCATGAGATGCAAAGAACACTACGATTAGCTCGTCACAAGACGCTGGTTGATGTCTTATCCGCCGCTCTTGAATACGAGTCAGCCACGCAGGCCTCTGGCGGGTACAGTAAAGTTAGGACTGTAAAAGAGGAAGGAGATGAAGATAAACTTGACCAGCTCTTTAATATGATAAAAAGCATGACACACAAGAAAACGAAGACCATAAGACCGAAGACAAAACCAGAACGCGTCGGCCTTAGGGGAGCAGCTTCGACCCAGAACTTTACCAAAGACCCTCTGATACTAATAGCTTCTTTGAAATGTCGTGAAGATAGTGTATATGTAGATGGAGAAATAAATGGTAAAAAGCATACGTTGTTGGTGGATACTGGAGCGACCAGAACCATTATACGCCCGACAGTTATAAACAGCCGAAAGAAACTGTTACCAACGAGGTTGCGACTTCGGACCGCCACAGGGGAAAATGCCAACATTCATGGAGAAATCCAGGTACAATTAGGAATTGGAGCAGAAAAGTTCGTCCATACTGTTATAGTTGCTGACATCGAAGAGGATGTTATATTAGGAATGGACGTAATGAATACGCATGGATTCCAATTGGATTTTAAGAATAAGGTAATCAAAGTTGGTAACGAGGAGGTATTTCTCCATCCACATGATGACAACACTATGCAAGCAGCCGTTAAAGAAGATACAGTCGTGCCTGCGAGAAGTGAAACAATCATAGTAGCGCGGCTACAGGGAATTGTGGACGAAGGGTCACCTGTTATGATGGAGCCTTGGAACCATGACGACGAAGTTGGCCGTGGAATCATAATTGGAAAGGAATTGGTGACCTCGGCTAAAGAAATTCCTGTTAGACTTATCAATGTCAATGACTACCCAGTGACCATCAAGAAAGAGACAAAAGTAGGAACTTGTGTACCTGTGACATCCATAATCCGTCAGACGACAACGTCTGATAATTCCAACGACAAATTTGATCAAATGGTTGCAGTTGCTGGACAGTCTCTGAATCAGATTGAGAAAAGGAAATTAAGGGAATTTCTTCGGCAGTATCGTGATATTTTCGTACCGAAAGGAGGAAAGACGGGAAGAACTACCGTTGTTAAGCATAGAATTGATACTGGTAATGCTAAGCCAATTCGTCAAACAGCTCGACGATTACCACAGGCGAAAAGAGAGGAAGCTGAAACGATTGTTCAGGAAATGAAGAAAGACGGGGTGATAGAACCTTCTACGAGCCCATGGGTCTCTCCGGTAGTCCTGGTTAAGAAGAAAGACGGAACAACGAGGTTCTGTGTGGATTACCGTTTGCTGAACAACGTTACCAAGAAAGATAGTTATCCTCTGCCTCGGATTGATGACACATTAGACACATTGGCTGGAAGTAAATTATTCTCTACTTTGGATTTGAAGTCTGGATACTGGCAGGTAGAAATGGACCCGGTAGATAAAGAAAAGACAGCCTTCACCACAGGATCTGGATTATGGCAATTCAACGTTATGCCATTTGGACTTTGTAACGCTCCTGCGACATTTGAGAGACTTATGGAAAATGTGTTGAGAGGGTTATCTTGGAAAACGTGCCTAGTTTATCTAGACGACATAATCGTCTTGGGGGAGACATTTGAGGACCATCTGAAGAATTTAGAAAACGTTTTTAATCGACTTAAAGCTGCCCAATTGATGTTAAACCCCAAGAAGTGCCAGCTATTTCAAGGTAAAGTCAATTATCTGGGTCATATAGTCAGTAAAGAAGGAGTGGCCGTGGATAAGGGAAAAATCGATTCCATTAAGGAATGGCCAAA